GGATTGATTCGAGACCCAGATCGTGGTGTGGGTCGACGTTCCTGCCGAACCACGGTGCTCCGACGGCTAGCCTGCAAAAACATGCTTGGAGGGTTTGGAGGGTTCCGTTGGTGAGAGGGCGCAAGGTAGCTCCTGTGCACGCTCACGATGTGTCTCCCGAGACGACGTCCTGCGGGATCTTTCCGGGGATGGAATCCCGTCCTATTCTCAGGACGGGTACCGGCGCGCACTCCCCAGCGTAAGGGTTTGGAGGGTGCCTATGTGGTTGCGGGCCGCGTGAGCGAACACAACACTCGCGTATGTCATAACGAGTCGTATACAAGTCTTGTAAAGTGTCACCTTATTCCGAAGGGACATTTTACTCCGCTTATAGGTCATGGGGTAGAGTCTGCCGAGGATAAACGCGGCGCGGTCGCCGACAGACTTAATGTCGGGGCGGAATGTCATGGATGCAACTAGGATAACTCCCAAGTACTTGACCTTCCTGTCCTAAGGTATGGATTGGTGGGGTGTGAAATTCCTACGCCTGTGCGGGAAGAGATACGGCTCGAAGAGGAACATGTCATAGCGTACGGGAAATATCGCGAAGTTCATTTTAGAGTCGAATGGTACACGAAAATTATTCGAGGAACTCAAATAAATCAATTTGCTAGTTTACATATTATAATTTCAAGGATTTCATTGAATTTTATTTTCATATCGCAACTTGTGTTATTGAAGTTGATGCATATTTATTTATTACTAGAGGTCCCGCAGTAGTCGAAATTCGACTATAATTAATTGGAATTTTAAGTTTGTACACTATTATGATTGTATTTTATACTTCTATAATCACAAATTTCGCCAAGGCTACACTATAAAAAATATTAATAAAGACAAACAATATAATTTAATATATTCTCAATTTGACCACAGACGTCAAGAACAAAAGTTTGACAATAAATAGTATGCATGCGTGTGTGCGTCAAATACATGNTCGACTATAATTAATTGGAATTTTAAGTTTGTACACTATTATGATTGTATTTTATACTTCTATAATCACAAATTTCGCCAAGGCTACACTATAAAAAATATTAATAAAGACAAACAATATAATTTAATATATTCTCAATTTGACCACAGACGTCAAGAACAAAAGTTTGACAATAAATAGTATGCATGCGTGTGTGCGTCAAATACATGTAGTAGGTATGTGGTATGTATGGTGGTATGTAGTGTGTGTAAGTTTTTCTTTATTGATTTAATGTATCTTTTATGCATTATTTAAAAAAAATATTAGAATTGTGCACTTCTTCTCTATATTCTCTATAAGTGTGGAAAATTTCATACTCCTCCGTCCTCACAATTTTCGTAAAAAGGGATACAAAGTTTTTGCTTCACGTATTAATATATAGATAAATAGCAGTATATAGATTATATTAAATTAGTTCCGTTGCTATTTATTCAAATAAAACCGAATTTGTTGTTTAATGATGATATCGAGAGGGTACGAGAGGCACCTACCTACAAGTTATATCTAGTTCCAAAAACTGATACTGATTTTTGCAACGAATGAAAACACTCGCTTAGCAATATAAAACATTTCATATGATGACATGTATGTAGAATTCAACTGAGGTAGTACGAGGAGGGATCAAAAAGTAGTGACAACGACATACTACGGTACTTACGGTAGGCAGCGGCTTGGCTCTGCCCCTGAAATTGCTGAAGTCCATGGGCGACGTAACCACTCACCATCAGGTGGGCCATATGCTCGTCTGCCAACAAGGGCAATAAAAAAAAAATTTAAAAAATCCTTGGCAAGTAAAAAAATACTGGCAGGCCTATGCGCCTGCCTCAAGGGCGGATCCAGCTTTGGCGCCAGGAGGGGGTCACATAGTCGTGGGCAAGTTAAGAACTTATAATTAAATTTTGATAACAATAGATAATAAATAAATCATGATGTTCTTCAATTAGTCCAAGTTAGTTCAAGTCCTGGAACTAGCTCAGGGGGGGATCATGACCCCCATGACCCCCCCCCCCTGGATCCGCCGTTGGCCTGCCTATGCCTCAGATAGTTCAGATACATATTTGTAATATTAATAAAAAAAATATCTTCGATTCTCTTTTGTTTTTTATCTGAATGTAGTCATTTGTTTTCTTCGTGTCGGAAGTCGGAACGTGTTCTCGAAAATGGAGAAAAACGTAGTGCGAGCCGTTATTAAATACCTCTGTTTAAAAAAAGTTAACGACGCAAGATATTCATTGCGATTTGGTAGCAACATTAGGAGAGTCTGCTTCGCCGTATTCCACTGTCGCAAGGTGGGCTTCTCAATTTCGAGTAGAGAGAACGAGCACGGAAAACGAACATCGTTGCGGTCGTCCATCGACGTCAGTCACCCAAGAAAATGTTGCGAAAGTCGGGAAAATTGTATTGAGCGATCGAAGAGTTACCATCCGCTACTTAATACAAGAAACGGGCATTTCATATGGAAATATTCAATCCGTATTGAAACAATCTTTGAATATGAGAAAAGTCTCCGCAAGATGGGTGCCGAGAATGATAACCAACAGTCAGAAACAAAATCACCATTTCGAAGATATTGTTGGACAAGTTTCAAGAAGATTCTGAAAACGTTTTGTCTCGTTTCGTAGCAATGGACGAAACATGGGTCCATCATTTTGATCCCAAGACAAAACAGCAATATTCACAATGGAAACGGCCATCATCACCGATCCCGAAGAAGTTTCGTGTCGTGGCATCGGCTGGCAAGGTTATGGCCTCAATATTTTGGGACTCAGAAGGGATATTGTTGATTGATTACCTGGAGCGTGGAACCACTATTACAGGCCAATATTATGCAGCTTTAATTTCCAAGTTAAGGAATGCCATCAAAGAGAAAAGGAGAGGGAAACTTCGAAGGGGCGTGCTGTTTCATCACGACATTGCACCCGCGCACAGGTCGGCAGTTGCAACGGCAGCCATTCAGCAAGCTGGCTTCGAATTGGTTGACCACCCCCTTTATTCACCAAATCTGGCGCCTAGCGATTTTTATGTGTTCCCCAAACTGAAAGAATACTTAAGGGGAAACAGGTACAAAGACGATAACGAAGTGATGGATGCCGTGGAGAGCTTTTTCCAGGACCAAGACAAAACTTTTTTTTCAAAGGGATTGAAGCCTTGGAAAAGCGTTGGCCTCGTTGTGTAGAGAGACTCGGAGAAATTGAATGTAGAAAAATAAATTATTAAGTTATCAATAGTTATTATGTTCTATCTCATTCTCACTACTTTTTGATCCCCCCTAGTAAGTATCGTTCTCCGAGCCCCTTGGAACCACCGACGACAGGTCTTGGAATTTAACGAATGCTACGTCGAGGCCCAGTATTTTTGCAGACACGTCGTGTCGTATCGTGAAATACTGCTAGAGGATTCACCTGGGCACCAATGTTCTCTGTACATTAAGTAGTATGAGTGAAACGCTATTAGGGTATTCGCCGAAGAATGATCACCGGTGCTCTCAGAGTATTAAACTAGCGTACAGCGACTGACTGCTCGGCTGAACTGGACGTTTTAACGCGCGAAAGTTTCACAAGATCTGTTTTACCACAATAACAGATATGAATGAGTAAGCTGTGAATTTATTTAGGCTAGCTCTCTTATCGTGGCCGCTGTGAAACATAACCTTGATCTAGCTCATGCGGGGATCAATCATCGTCAACGCCTTGGAAATGTCCTTGCAGATCCATTTGGTCCACATACACTAGACGCTGGTCGCGCTAAGGCTGGGATCAGGCACATGCAGGCAATTCACCAGGGGGGTTGTGAGCTCATACACACATGCACTATAATAATAAAAAATTACCAACTGTACTAGTCGAACTCGTCGAAGAGCTCGAGGTGAAACTTAAAGCAGTAATGCGTTTTGGTTTGAAGGGTGGGGCAGCCGTTGTAACTTTATTGCGACCTTAGAACTTGAATTTCAACGTGGGTGACGCAATTAGGTTGTAGATGTCTATGGGCTCCAGTAACCACTTAACACCAGGTGGGCTGGAGCTCGTTCACCCATCTAAGCAATAAAAAAATTTAAAAAACTCGTCTTTAATAATTATTCTAGTTTCTTCTATATTTTGTTTAAGTAATTTAGCAACAACTAATTAAAATTCAAAAAGAACGATAAAGGACATTATTTATAATCAAACCTAATAAATAAAAACTTACCTGCTACTACTACATGAAAAAATCGTCTGTAGATCTGAAGATTTTAGGTGTTACTTGAAATTATAAATCGATACATAATATGTAAATCATATCGATATCATTAAATAACCAAATATTATATCTACCAAATATGATTTTCAAACACAACGAAACATTTATCTGGGTTTCTTTTATCTGTTCAGTATAAAATATTATGGAAACTACTTTTTTAGGAGGGATAGATTTCTGTGGCACTAAGGCATTTCTGTCCGAGCGTTACCAAGGTCCTTATGCCTGCTCCTAGTGCTAAAGCGTAGGCCTCTATTTACATAATTAATGGACAGGATGCATCCGTAAGGACGTCTCTAAGGCGTCGACGGTGACTGGCTCCTGCATGAATCTAAGTGAGGGGCGGCACGATGAAGCAATTTTCATGATTCATCTAACAGGAACTAAAGTTCTCTATGGAGCATGACTTTAAGGTAATATTGTATGATTGATTTCTTAAATATGTGCCTGTTATAATTTTTAAATGTGTTTACAATGGATTAAATTAATTGAGCATAAAATTATGAATTTTTTATATTTACTTTCTATCCGAAACAGAAAACAAAACAAATACATATTATATTTTTAATTTAACCAAAATTCATTGGTTGATCTGAATTAAAATCCAAACTTTCTTTGCCAAAAATACTATTACAATGAATTTGATTTCAGATTCCTACCCTATTCCTGACAGCTAATCTGTATCCTGTTACTTGGCTTAAAGGGCTTTGTTTCTAAGCCAGTAAAATTTATTAAAAAAATGTATCCTGTTCCACCATTTTGTTTTACATGTCGCGTGTGAGGCCGGTGCTGGAGGAATTCGGTTTTCTCTCCTAAACCGCAATAAAATCGACGAAATTGTGTTAATGAAGTAGAAAGTGATATAAAGAAAATGGCGCGATACGGTCAAAGACCGGAAAATGCCCTTAAACGGGCCAATGGTTAGTATTATGTTTGATCATCCACGTTGCGTTTCTATGATTAGCAAAAAAAACATTTCGATGGATTCACCACCTATGGCTATCACAAAAGAAACATCTATTGATATCAAATAATGCTATAAAAATTATTTTTCTACAGTGAAAAGTTTTTAAATTTCATTTAATAAATAAACATAACCAAAAACATTTAAGAGTCGTCGTGTCAAGCTTATCTTTACGTAATTGACGAAACAATAATTAGTTAATATAAACCTAAAATCCAAATCCAATATAACGTTCAATCTTAGAGTAGATGATGATTGTAATTATCTCCTATGCTGAAATTACGAAAACAATCCATATGTTTTGATGATCTCACTCTTATGATCCAAATTTCAGTATACACCGCCGTTCTTTCCATATCGTTTCCTGTGCAAAATATTGTAAAAAATTTAAATCAATTGTTATTGACAAAATTAAGTCACATTCCAATGTAACTATGCTATTTTCAGAGTTCATGGATTTGGACAAACCAGCAAGGGCCCTAGACACCTTACAGGAAGTTTTCCGTAACAAAAAATGGGCCTACAACTGGTCCGAATCTGTCCTAGAACCAATCATGTTCAAATACTTGGAACTTTGCGTTGATCTACGTAAATCTCATGTCGCAAAGGAAGGTCTGTTCCAGTACAGAAACATGTTCCAATCAGTTAACGTTGGGTCTTTGGAGCAGGTTATAAGGTAATTATTAAAATCAGTCTTGTCTACCTATTGCAAGGTATACCATGGTTCACAAACATTTCACTGCAGTGCAATGCAGATGCCTATCTTCAAACATAAAATTGAAGCCTAAAGCATTAAGCTTACTGAAACTTACCAAAAATGCTGTTAATAATTAATACTTAGATACAGTTGAATGAGATGCAAAAATTGGTGCACACTTGTTCAATCACGTAATGATCATTGATTTACATAAAACTGGGTATTGGAATATGAATTGAATATCTCTAGCAAAAAAAATATATGAAAGTTGTTAATTAAATATAAGCAATCCACTATTTTAAACTTTGTGATAAACAAAAATTGAAAAGTAAAAAAAAATGATACCATTTATGTCTAACACATAACTAGACTAACACTAATAACAAATAAATTTTAACAGATCTGCATTGATTTATAAAGTTCATTCAATCACTTTTTTGTCAAATATGCTCAACTTTTGTTTTCTTTTTGTTAATACTTTGTGGCCCAAGACCCACCTGGTGTTAAGTAATCACTGAAGCTGATGCACATCAACAAAGCAAATGCTGAAACCCACTATGACTTCTAATTCTCAGGCTCAGAAGCTGCCATACCATGAGTATATGTTTCAATGGCTGATGTTTGCCTAGATTACCACAATCTCATCTTGTCCTATACTGTTTACAACAGTAAAACACGACTGGGGCTTTTGAGAGAACTGGCAGCAGTGTTCATGTCGTACAAGAATACAAGAATTTAGGAGTGGGTGATATAAATCGTATATAGATTCAATATCTATATATCGCAGCAATATCGTTGAATCCGATATCGCCCCGCACGAAATCTATATATCGATATCAGCCGATACACGATATTGCTCGATGTGATGCGCATCGCCATATTGGACCGATTCGTGAATCGAAATCTATATTTCGATATCAGCTGATACACGATATTGCTCGATGTGATGCGCATCGGCATATCGTACAGATTCGTTAATATCAGCAATATTCGTTTGGTTCGTATCGAATCGGCCAGAGTGAGTGAGCGCACGATAGGGATATCATGTGATGAATGAAACAGAAACAGGCATTATCCATACAATTGTAAACCTTATATTTAAGTCCATATGTCTGTAGATTATTCTTAGCGTATCAGCAGGATACAATTAAGGAAAGAAGTTTCAACTTTCGACCCTAACTTGAATGCAGTATAGCCTATTTGCATCGTTGAATTTAATTTCACGCGCTTTGACCTTGAACTAGAATTTTTGGACAAGTGTTTATAAATACTTAAAAGTTTTTTGTGTTTGATTTTTAAAGTACATATTTTTCTGTTTTTAGTTGAATCCAAATACTTGAGTTTATTTCTTGTGTTTGTATTAAACTTTTGAAATCTACACTCTTTTGGTATATTTTGTAATTTTAAATTAAGACACAAAATACTAAAAACTGAAAATAATGTAGCCAGTCCTACGCCTACAGTAAGCCTGGTAAAAGCATGAAGGAAAGTTTTTTTTGATATTTTTATTTTCATGTTCTTTTTATTACTTTATGATCATATTATAAATTGAGCAAAACCAACCGTATAACGTTGACTTAAATCTATATCGACTACGATATTATATCAGCGTATCGTTTCAAATCTCAAATATCATGAATCGAGAAAATCTAGCATCCATCAATATATAGATTCAGAAAATATATAGATTCAATATCCGATATTGATCCTCGATATATAGATACGATTCGATACGTGGCAAAACCGATATTACCCACTCCTACAAGAATTTACTGTTATTTGTGTATAAAATTAACTCATAGAAGTGGTTCCTCTTCACTATCGTGTACATTGCGGTTGCAAAGTAATAATGTTTAACTGTTTAAAGGATTGAACAGTTGTTATACATTAAAAATGAGATTTTGATGATTCATCACAAGGTAGATAGGATGAAATGTGACCCTGTTCGTAAATTGATTCAATAAAAATAAAATTGATTCTTGTAATCTTAGGGCAGGAGGTGGACAGAAAGCAACATTGACTTTGTGGTATCTATGAACTCTAAAACCACTTGTTACTGTAAGCTAATAAATCCAAATATAGCAAAACTAATTACTTTACACTCTCACAATTTCTAACTATAATAAAGAAATGTGCCTGTAACTGTAACATTTCACAGAGGCTATCTCCGTATGGCAGAGGAACGCACAGAAACAGCCAGGGCTTTATCGACGCAGGCCGTCATAGACACTGATGATCTGGATAACCTTGCAACCCCGGAGAGCATACTCCTGAGTGCAGTGTCAGGTGAAGATGCCCAGGACCGATCCGACAGAACAATACTCACACCATGGGTGAGCTATCATCACCAGAAATTCTACTATAACAATGCATTTGGAATTTATCAACTTATGGAGTTTGCATTTAGTTATTAAAATTATTTATAAATTTAAATATAATAATGACACAATTTTTTAACACAGGTGAAATTCCTTTGGGAATCCTACTGCCAATGCCTGGAGCTCCTTCGTACGAATGCTCATGTGGAAACCTTGTATCATGATATTGCTCGCATGGCCTTCCAATTTTGTTTAAAGTACTCGCGAAAAACAGAATTCAGAAAGCTTTGTGATAAACTAAGGAAACATCTTGAAGATATTTGCAAACCTACAGTAAGTGTAATAAAACTCAATTTTTCTATTTATCAACTGATGGTAGGGCATAGGTGTCAGCTTGTATAAGTAGGTACCACATAGATTGTCTGTAATGAAGCAGTTATAATACATACAATAAATACAATTGAGATTATATCATTTGTGACATCCATTTCCTTTCATAAAAAAGGGCAACTAGTGATTTGATCCCAAACTGATTAAGATGCTCTGAACAAGATGTAAAGATACATTCTTATCACATGCTACACTGTGATTAGAGACCTTTATTGGATAACACTGTACTGGGACAATTGAAAACATGAATAGATGAAGGGGTTAAGTACAATTTTAAAGATTTTTGAGTTTCTACATTGAATGAAGGTGTTATGTGCCGATATATAAGCCCTTAAAACTCCAGGTTTAAAGGCTATTTTTAGAAATTGCATGTGATGAAGAAGCTATATATGAAGCAAAAGTATAAGTAACGAAAAGTCTGTTGCTCGTTTTCTCAAAATTAACAAATTGTATCATATCCCCTTCATCCACTCATGTCTTCAATTATGCATCATATAGAAGACAACTAGTCTACTGGTGTTGGGTTGTTTTATGGGCTAGCAGGGGTCTACCATTACCTGTTTCTGTCACAGAGCAGTTATGTATTCTGGTGTAAAGAGTGACATACTATACAATTGTTGTAATTCTAAATGGCTGGTTTATGTTTGTAGTATTTCTATAAACAAAATGTATTTATTCTGTTCTGAAATATAGTCTTGTATTATTTTGTAGGTGCAAACTGGAAACGTTAGCATTTCAAAACCAGAAACTCAACAGCTGAACCTCGAAACAAGACTGTTCCAGCTCGACTGTGCAATTCAAATGGAGTTATGGCAGGTTTGTTAAAAAAATTTTTATTTCATCTTTATTTTGTAATACGTAAATAAATTTAATTATTTTTTATGTGCACTAAAATCTTTCAATAAATAAGTAATACAGAAAGTAATCAATAAAGTAATAGAATATATACAAAAAAAGGGACTATTTGAATATGAAGAATGATTTCATTATAATAATTTAAAATTGCATTAATACAAACACGGCCAATACGTTTCGAATGTTTAACTAGAATTACTTTTAAAAAGATGTTTTTTTTAACAGGAAGCCTATAAAGCCATTGAAGACATCCACAACCTAATGAATATGTCTAAAAAAACTCCAGTCGCCAAAACTATGGCCAACTACTATGGGAAACTGGCACTTGTTTTCTGGAAAGCTGGCCACTGCCTATTCCATGCTGCAGCCTTGCTGAAACTCTTCCAGCTGTACAGGGAGATGAAGAAGAACATCACCCAAGAGGAACTGCAGAAGTAAGAATACTATTCAATAATCATACATACTATATACTGGCAATGAGCAAGTGGCTAACCGTTAACATCTGATTCCCACTGACTAATTATGAATTCAATTTATGTAAAAAAAAAAATAGCTTTGGTGGGTGAACTATCTCACAGCCCACCTGGCGTTAAGTGGTTACTGGAGCCCACAGACATCTACAACGTAAATGCGCCACCCACCTTGAGATATAAGTTCTAAGGTCTCGGTCTAGTTACAACGGCTGTCCCACCCTTCAAACCGAAACGCATTACTGCTTCACGGCAGAAATAGACGGGGCGGTGGTACCTACCCGTGCGAACTCAGAAATCCTACCACCAGTACAAATATATCTATATAGTAATATATAGACACCAAAAAAAACATGTTATTTGATCAATTAAGCCTGCAAATACTCACATGAATTACTTATAGGTGTATTACAAGTGCTACGCAAAAAAAATAGTAAAAAAAAAGTTACTTTGTAGGATGGCGTGTCAAGTACTGGTAGCGGTGCTGTCTGTGCCACTGCCATCTCTACACCCTGAGCTCGATCGCTTTGTCGAGACGGATAAGAGCCCCGTTGAGAAGGCCCAACGTTTGGCTGTACTGCTCGGTCTTGCTCAACCACCGACCAGGGCAAGTCTTTTGAAAGGTATCTATTTTAAAAGCACTAGTACTAATTATTTGAATATAATAATGACATTAAATTATCTAGTAAGAAGGAAAAGGAATTTCTCAACATGTATTACAATATTTTAAGAAAACTACACTAGTAATTACTTACTGGCCTTTGAGTTTGGTAACTCTTTTTGTTTTGTATAATACCTTTGCAACTGGAGCTCTAGCATAAAAATATTTATTTATTAGTCCACAATTTATAGTAATTATTCAAAACTAAAAATAAATGCTAATTTGTAAATATTATTATTGCTATGTTTGAATGTTTTACTACGGCCTATTAAACTATTTTGTATATTAAGCACTTTCTGGCGATTAAGTACACTTAAATTTAATAAAATACTAGTTTATTTAGCTTTGCTGGTTTTTTTTATATAAATTGTGTTTTTTAGAAATTATATTTAAATACGAATTACATATTGATAAAATGATAAATATAAATGATATTTTTCGATCTCACCGACAGAATAATAATAAAATATGAACTGGTTATTTAAAGAAAAAATCAAAATTATCGATAAAGATGATTATTGAAAACATCAAAAAAACAACATTTTCTGAAAATAAATCGTAGCTAGATCGATTATGAAAATCATTGGAGCCCTTTCCGAGTTTCAGATTACATATATATATATTTATATACAAGAATTCCTCGTTTAAATATATAAGATGCAAATGTAACTAAAGTATAAAATTCTATTTATTCTTAGATATCGTCCGCCTTAACGTCGTGTCGCTGGCATCGCCTCAACTTCAACAGCTTTATTCTTGGCTTGAAGTAGAATTCGACCCTCTGACCATCTGCCTTAATGTCAAGGGCGTTATCAAATCTTTGCAGGATGAGCCAAGTGAGTACATTGTTTAACCCACACTGATAACTCATTACATTATGCTTAGTTTACTGTCCAACTGATATTAGACTAAAGACTTTGTAGATGTTAGAAACAGATGATTTTATCTACCTTCTTTCTAATCCCTTTTACTATACACACAGTATTGTAAAGTGGATGGCGCATTTACGTTGTAGATGTCCATGGGCTCCAATAACCACTTAACACCAGGTGGGCTGTGAGCTCATCCACCCATCTAAGCAATAAAAAAAAAATTCACTGTTTTTGCTGAACACTGAAGATGCAGAATTGTTTTTTACTAAACCTAATAGTGAAATGTTCTATGTGGTTAGTCCTGAACCAAGACCATACATACATACAGGTGTATTAAGGAATTGTACCACTATTAAATGAAAAATATTAAATATTTAATGATTGGTGAAAAAGGTCTTGTTATTAAAAGTATAAGCAATAAATAAATAAATAAATAAATAAAAGTATAAGAACAAGCAAATAATATGTGTGTCAGATAAAAACATTTTCTATAGCTACATAAATCAAAATTGATCACCTTTATAACATTTGGATTTTTTATAACAAAGTCAAGCTTAATATTAATTTTATTTAAACTGTATGTACTCGAATAGTTGAAGTCACATTTGAAAGTATTCACTTCATTGGAAAAGTTAATGCAGACAAATTCAAACAAAATATAGATAAATTAGTAATCAAATATTTTAGGAATATTGTGCCTCTGAAATAAATCCCATTTGTAACCCTTAATGGTTATGTGATGGTAGGCCTCAGAGGTAGATCATATTGTAAGCTAGACGCGACAGAATATACGACACATGTATAGCCTGTGTTAATTTATGCTTACACATTTTATAATTTACTAGTGAGACGTCGTAACTGCCATAACCCATAGTCTGTAACTATTGCTAATTGTAGATTTGACCCATCTTTTGAAACAACTCTACATTCTCTAAAGTGCCAAAAGTTGTTGGTTTCAATTTTTAACTCAACAATATCCTTCCTGAATATACATTCTTTTACAAATTAAAAATATTTCTGTGCAAAAGCACAATATTAATAATAATCCCTAATGAAAATCCATCTGTTGGAGCATATCCCATGACGTGAATAAAGATGAAATTAAATTCAATTTAAATGTAGTTCAAATATTAAAGACTTATTACAAATGGTTATCATGTGTTATATAATATTTCATTAAAATGTTTTGTTTCTGTTCTCATAAAAACATTTTAATTATGATTCACACAAACAAATATATAATTATGGATATGTATAATACTCTAAAGGCTAGGGATACACATTAAAAATAGCCAGAGTCTTATTAATGTGACCCACTTTAACTCGAGTAATAAATACCTGACTGCACACCAAATAACCGAATCATTGTGTACCTATACAATTATTTTATTTGAATATTGATTTAACAGATTCATCGCTCGCTCAGTACACCAATGCCCTGACGGACGTGGCCCTGGTGAGGCTGATCCGTCAGGTGGCCCAGTGCTACGCGTGCGTGCAGTTCTCCCGGCTGCTGGAGCTGGCGGCCACCGACGACCTGTTCCATCTGGAGCGCTTGCTCGTCGACTGCGTGCGCCACAACGACATGCAGATACGCATCGATCACGCCAACAAGTACGTTACGCACTTCGTGTAAAACTAAAGTCTACGGTTTTTTATTGTTATTGCTTAGATGGGTGGACGAGCTCACAGCCCACCTGGTGTTAAGTGGTTACTGGAGCCCATAGACATCTACACCGTAAATGCCGCCACCCACCTTGAGATATTAGTTCTAAAGTTTCAGCATAGTTCTGTTTGTAAAGTGGGGCAGCCGTTGTAGTTACAAACGCATTACTGCTTCCCGGCAGAAATATGGCGACAACTACCCGTGGGAACTCAAGAAGTCCTACCACCAATAATTACGCAAATTTACTGTGACTATTACTAAAACTGTGCTATTGGTATTAAAAACAATTTTCGCGTTCATCTAATCTCTTCCCATAAATTAAGAATAAGTTTTGAAATTTTATCAGTATCCCTACACAGACAACCTCTTTTCAAATAAATTTAAGTAATCTTTATTTATTGCAACGAAAGCTAATTAATTTACGGTACGTATATCTCCCGTACCATGAGTAGATATGACAGAGCTTTTCTGTCAGCTTTCATTATAGCTATAACTACTTCCATTTCATTTTTCACTTAAACTTAGATAACTAAGTGGTACCTATTTAAAAGAGTTTGGAAAAACCTCCCCATTCTAATTCAATGTTTTTGCCACGTTTCATCCAAATCTATTCCAGATCCACAATGCTTTCTGAGTGCTATAATAACATCTCATTCGCTAAAGGGACTTTTTTATTATTTATTAGAGCCATACACCCCTATTAGGTTGTCGGCTAAAGGGGACTCAAAATGTACTGTTGGCAGGGTAATTGTTCAGTTTAATTCTTAATTACTACTTCTGTTTACAATCAGGTGCGTGCACTTTGGCGTAGAAGCGGGCGGCGGCGAGTGGTGCTCGGCCGCGGACGAAGCCTGCGGCGGGGCCATCCTGCAAGCCACCCCGGCGGAACAGGTATGCGCATTATGAATAATGGACTTGTAGTTTTATTACATTTACAAATGAACTCATTTCGGTGGGCTGTGACAAGGTGTGCCTAATAGTTTAGACGAGTTAACTGACGTACTGATGATATAGTTTTTACTAAGATTTTAAGACTTTAAAACATACATTAACTATGTTATTAATCATCTGATCTGGTTTATTCAAAATAGTATTTCTACGAATCCTATTTTACTATTTTAGTATGTATAACTACTGAAATGGTAAATTTAATATTTCAAATGTGATAAAATACTTTAAATTTTTAAATATATTTGATGTTTTCTCCACAAGGACGATTCTCAAAGATCATGAAAAAGCCTTGTAAAATTATCTTTTTTACCAAATAAAATTTCTTTGTTCCCCTCCAATTATTTTCCCTACTATACATTTCGATAATGAAATACATTAAAACAAATACATTCGAATTCTCCAATATATCGTCTATCTAATCGTCCAATATATCTAAGTCGTCGTGGCCTAAAGGATAAGACGTCCGGTGCATTCGTTGTTGCGATGCACCGGTGTTCGAATCCCGCAGGCGGGTACCAATTTTTCGAATGAAATACGTACTTAACAAATGTTCACGATTGACTTCCACGGTGAAGGAATAACATCGTGTAATAAAAATCAAACCCGCAAAATTATAATTTGCGTAATCACTGGNAAGAAATAATTATAATAAGCGTCGAGCTAATTTTGAAAGCATTACAGTGCAGAATGATAATTTAAATGATTTTCCCCAGCTCTCCGACAGTGAATTAATATTAATTTCTTTGGGCACATACCAAATAAAGCAGGCACGCTCCTACTATGGTGAACATATTAGAGTAAATAACGATTTTAATATAGAAGTGTGCAAGGAGGTCAGCAGCATCCTTCTTCGAGAGCTGTCGGCTTCTAATACGTCTTACCTGGTTAGGGGTCGCATACAATCCCGACACATAAGTCGGAAAACTTATTTCGTTTATATTTTAGTCGACAGCTCTCGTATAGGAAGGGAAGCTATTATCATCAATTATTGTAATTGTATTGTAGGCAGACGAACTGTAGGCTGCTGCGCTCATGTTATGACTATTATATGGTACCTTAGCTGGGCTAGGTACCAAGACAATATTGTTCCTCCCGCACTCTTCCTGGACGACACTTTATTAATAATTGAAGGTGAATAAACTAGGTATACAATACATTGTGTTTTATTTTTCTCGACACCTTTTAAGTAAATCCATACCTGATATATATCATTGATATTCATTTATAATATGACATTTAAAAGATTATCCAATGGATATAATACACATTTACCTATGCTTAAATAAGTTATTAATCAGCTCTTTTATAGATTGTAACATAACCTAACTTTTACTAAATCTTTAATAACTCTGCTCCCAGATTGAGAAAACTTTTAAAATTTTCAGCAAAGTACTGATAAATCTCAATCTATTAATTCATACTAGTTTCATCACGGTACATTCGGGCCCAAAAATGTATGTAATCGTTTCAGTCTCCTTTGGTATACTTATTAAGGACCGATTACAATTGAAAATTAAAAAATTATTTATTTATTATTAATGCATAGATGGGTGAACGAGCTCACAGTCTACCTGGTGTTAAGTGGTTACCGAAGCCCATAGACATCTACAACGGCTGCCCCACCCTTCAAACCGAAACGCATTACTGGTTCACGGCAGACATAGGCGGGGTGGTGGTAACTACCCGTGCGGACTCACAGGAGGTCCTACCACCAATAATTACGCAAATTTGCTGTGACTATTACTAAAACTGTGCTATTGGTACTAAAAAACAATTTTCGCGTTCATCTAATCTCTTTCCATAAGTTAAGAATGAGTTTTGGAATTTTTGTCAGTAGCCCTAAACATAGACAAGACAACGTTTTTTCAAATAAATTTAAGTAATGTATATATATAGTAACGAAAGCTAATTAGTTTATGGTACGTCCATCTCGCGTACCATGAGTAGATATGAAAGAGCTTTTCTGTCAGCTTTCATTATAGCAATAACTACTTCCATTTCATTTTTCACTTAAACTTAGATAAGTGGTACCTATTTAAAAGAGTTTGGAAAAACCTCCCCGTTCTAATTCAATGTTTTTGCCACGTTTCATCCAAATCTATTCCAGATCCACGATGCTCTCTGAGTGCTATAACATCTCATTCGCTAAAGGGACTTTTTTTTTATTTATTAGAGCCATACACCCCTATTAGGTTGTCGGCTAAAGGGGACTCAAAATGTACTGTTGGCAGGGTAATTGTTCAGTTTAATTCTTAATTACTACTTCTGTTTACAATCAGGTGCGTGCACTTTGGCGTAGAAGCGGGCGGCGGCGAATGGTGCTCGGCCGCGGACGAAGCCTGCGGCGGGGCCATCCTGCAAGCCACCCCAGCGGAACAGGTACACGCATAATGCACTGAATAATGGAGTTTTCTAACATTTACAAATGAACTCATTTCGATGGGCTGTGGCATGGAGTGCCTAATAGTTTGGTTAGTTGAGTTAAATGACGTACTGATGATATAGTTTTTACTAAGATTTTAAGACTTTAAAACATACATTAACTATGTTATTAATCATCTGATCTGGTTTATTCAAAATAGTATTTCTACGAATCCTATTTTACTATTTTAGTATGTATAACTACTGAAATGGTAAATTTAATATTTCAAATGTGATAAAATACTTTAAATTTTTTAATATATTTGATGTTTTCTCCACAAGGACGATTCTCAACGATCATAGTGAAGCTTTATAAAATTATCTTTTTTACCAAATAAAATTTCTTTGTTCCCCTCCAATTATTTTCCCTACTATACATTTCGATAATGAAATACATTAAAACAAATAAATTCGAATTCTACAATGTATGCATGCGTACTTAAAAAATAGAAAATCCCTTGACGTGTCTATAATCAGGTCCGCGAGCAGCTGGTCCGCGCGGCGGAGGTGCTGTCCCGCGTGGTGGGCGCGCTGTACCCGCAGCGGCGCGGCGCCGAGCGCGAGCGCGCCCGCGCCGCCATGGTGCAGTACTACCACGAGAACAAGCAGGCCGAGCACCACCGCGTGCTGCAGCGCCACAAGATCATCGAGGAACGGAAGGAGTACATCGAGCGACTCAACACCGTGCGCGAGGAGGAGGAACTCAGGTAACTAGACCACGTTCCGTACTAGGACATTTCTTTTTTTTTTCTACCTAAGCTGAGAGCCTTGAGAGGCTATATCAGCGTAACCTTAACTAGTAGGTGAGCTCACGGGGCTCAAACCTGACGACGTTGCTAACACGAACCCTAGCAAGAGCCGCGCTTCGCAGAATCTACCACCGGATCGGAAACGCGACTCACTGAGAAGATCCGGAAAGAAACTCAGTGGGCTATGTCTGTTGGTTAATTTACTCGTCAAGCCCTTCGTCGCAAGCGACGGGTTCCACGAGAACGGTGACCGGTGCTTGAGGTACCTAAAAGCACCGTTAGTGGATCGGGAGGATCCGAAATGACGTGTTTTGGACGACGTCAACTGCTTTCCATTCTGTCCGCAGGATCGGGAATGTAGTCACCGGCGGCCACGATGAGAGGGTACCCGTATCGTTCCGCTTTGTCGAAGTGGAACTAGGACAGAGCAACTAGAGTCGTAATTCACTATACACTAGTATGATAATAAAGGACTGCCTCCTTCTGAAATCTGTTATGTATATTCAATTGTTAAGAAGACATTTTACTTTTAGTGCCTCTGAAATAAATCCCATTTGTAACCCTAAATGGTTATGTGATGGTAGGCCTCAGAGGTAGATCATATTGTAAGCTTGACGCGACAGAATATACGACACATGTATAGCCTGTGTTAATGTATGCTTGCACATTTTTTTTCATTTGATGTATCAACTTTCAATTCTGCTATTATATTTCATGTGTTTTATTGAATTAATTCAGCTGAATTACACAACTACAAAAAAAAAATTCGTTCTTTGTCCTAACGTTTATACTAGGTTTTTCCGTTTAATTACTCACAAAAACAAAAATAAAAGTTTGCTTTTGTGATAGTTATAGTAATAATATTCATTTTTCAATTTTATTATAAATTTTTATTTAATTTTAATACTTTAAAAAAAACGCGCTATGAGAGTGGAGTGTTCACTAGATGGCACTCGAGTCATAAACAACGGTCAGGTGTTTTGTACAAGCCCAGAAAAACTTAAAATGTCACAAAAGTGTGAATACGACGCTGATTCATTTTGTTCATATGTGGTCAATTTATTAAAGTAAAATTCAAAAGCAACTGTTTCATGCCATATATTATTTTTTCGTCTAATTACGATCTAAAATATCAAAATTTTATGCGATGCAATCAAAGTCTAATTTGGTGTTGACCCGTGTTATAGATAGGTTAGAAAAATAAAACAGGTCCACTAAAAGCTTTCAGAGCTATGACGATCGTTAATTAATATTAGAAATAGGACTAAGCAAAGGTGGTAGGACCTCTTGTGAGTCCGCGCGGGTAGGTACCACCACCACCCCGTTTATTTCTGTAGTGAAGCAGTAATGCGTTTCGGTTTGAAGGGTGCGGCAGCCGATGTAACTATACTTGAGACCTTAGAACTTATATCTCAAAGTGAGTGGCGCATTTACGTCGTAGATGTCTATGGGCAAGTCCACCCACATAAGCAATAAAAAAAAAAAACTGGAATAACTAACGAAATGATTTGACGTATCAGGCGTCAAGAGGAGCAGCTCCGCGCGGCCGCCATCGCCGAGGCCCGTCGCTTGGAGCAGGAGCGTGAGGAGCGCGAGAAGAAGCGCCACGCGTCAGAGCTGGCCGCCATGAGGGAGCGACACCTCAAGGAACGCATGGCGCACATCTCGCAGACCGCGCACGGACAAAAGATGCTCGGAAAACTCAATGAAGAGGTTCGTCCTGTTTACTGTTGTTCTCATCTTCTGCATTAAAGAACATAAGATACATAAAGGAAATAGTCAATAATTATATCTTAAGCGTAGATACAATAGATCTCTTTCTATCTTTCGGTAGGCAGCGGCTTGGCTCTGCCCCTGGCATTGCTGAAGTCCATGGGCGACGGTAACCACTCACCATCAGGTGGGCCGTATGCTCGTCTGCCTACAAGGGCAATAAAAAAAATTTAAATTTAAATGTAATGAAATACTATTTTTTTTTTAAATAATATATCTTATATCCATTTTTCACGTCAAGCCAAACATGATGTCACATGTGACTAATGGTATTATTAGTGAATCGTCTAAAGTTAACTTACACATTTTGACACCCAACAATGTTACATGAATGTTTAATTAACTTTTGTAGTTTGTGATAGAATTTGGAAAAATGGAAACATGATTGATTTCCTATGCTTGCCAGGGTGTAATTTCTATCACAGTTATTATAAAAATTATTTTTCGTATCCTGAATATTCTTACAACCAGCTAATCCTATTTAGTCTGATATTGGACATTCGTTTTGTCCATCTCCTTGAACACAACAACATAAGAGTATTCGACAAGGTCAACGAACCTAAATAAATAAAAAAATACTTAATATAAAATACATTATTTCACTATTGAATGCAGGATCTTAAGAAAATGGATGCTGAAGCTATTGCTCAGCGGGAAGCTGAGGAACTGATGAAGGAACGTCGCGAGCTTCAGGCTAGACTCAAGTCGCAGGAGAAAAAGGTACTGTCAACATTAAAATATCCAGAAATGCAATCTATACATATAAATGTCTGTCTGTCTGTTTGTTTGTTCCGGCTAATCTCTTGAACAGGTGGACCGATTTTGATGAGACTTTCACTAATAGGTAGCTAATTATATAAAGAGTTACTTGGGCTACTTTTTTTTAGACTAGCTTCGCCCCGCGGCGTCACCCGCAATTATTGTCCTACCGCGCGCAACATGGCGGGCTTCGCCTATCAATAATAAAATTTAATGTTTCCGAAACGAAGCGAGGGCGGGTCGCTAGTAAATAATAATTGACACGCACTTACCACAAAATGGCTGACACATCCTGTCTTACTTATTTTACATCAACAATTGGTTCAGTGTTAAAATATTGGAACCTTTTTGAAATTCACCACCAACTAGTATGACATGATATGCTAAGTAAAAGTGTAAACGCCACCAACACGAAGTTAAAATCATTAATATGTAATATATCTGTGTCTTCCTAACCGAAACTAGTAACACTTTATTTCATAAACGAATTTTCATAAATATAAATAACAAACAGGTGGATTACTTTGAGCGTGCCAAGCGATTGGAAGAGATACCACTTCTGCAGAAGAGCCTGGAAGAGAAACAGGTTCAAGACAAGGCATTCTGGGAGCAACAGGAAAAAGAACGCATTGAACAACTCATAGGTAAGCAAAAAATGCGAAACACCAACACTAAACTAACTATAGTTGAATTATTTTGTCCGTGCAATTTGGGACATAAATAACCGGAGCGGTGAAGCGAGTATTTCGCTGTCTCTTCCACTCACGGGCCTTATGGACGGGAATAGTGATGCGCATTATTGTTGTCGATAAGCTTTATCGATAGTGTATTTAGTTTTATCATTTTGTGGGTTAGTGATAAAAATGAAAGAAAGAAATGATAATAATAATAATAAACTTACACTACATATCGCCGCAGCAAGTTAACGAGAACGGCAGAAATTAACACTTTGTAACTTTTCGGGATCTATTTTCATTTCAGTGAAAAATTTTAAAACATTGTTGATAACAACACATGCTTGTGCTGGTGGTATATTTTTGCCAACAGGCAATTTTTGTTTTGTTTTGTTTTGAAATTATTGTTTTGAATAAATTCTGCCGTTTTGGTACAAAACAAAGAAGTAGCCATTATGTCACTAAAGAAATTCAGAGAGTGAATGAACAAAAACACATTTCTCTTCGACATGTTATGTACTATAATTTGCAGGTCGGTGCAAATGACTCATAACATAACAATGTCTCACCGCCCTTCGTATACCACCCCGCCGCCGTATACCAGCCTAAGATGACTCATTTGTTTTTATCGATAATAGCGTTGGGCCCGCGCCACATGGTCACCACCCTAGCCGAGCTATGACCTATAACCCAAACTGCACCGACAAAATAGTTCTACTATAGTATTTAAAAACCAATTTAATAAATAAACAAATAAATCCAGTGCTTCGAATAGGCGAAGGAAAAGCTGTGACTATGTAATATGTAATTGTAAAATGTAAATGTAATGTAATTGTGACTACACGTCGCTGCACGTCTCACTGAATGTGACATATTGTCTTGCCACTAACTACAATTTCCTTGCCTCAGAGGCTCGCGCCTTAGACGTGGCCACGTCGGAGCGCATGTCCCGCATGGCGGTCCACCGCGACGAGTTCATGGCGCGACTTCGCTCGGAACGCGGGGCCGCCTACGCTCAAAAGGTAGCCGCTTTCAACGAGAAACTTCAAGCCGAGAAGGAAAAGAGATTAGCTGAGAGACGCGCACAGCGAATCGAGAAGAGAAGACATGAGGTAAAAGATTGATATGATTATAACCTACATATTTTACGATTATAACCGGACCTTGGAAAATTTCTATAAACATTGCATTAGATTGTCAGACAGCTAGTTTTTAAGTGGGTAAAACTCTTGTAGGTTCCAACAACACCAATGTTCCCTATAATGGAGGTTGTAGACATGCACATAAAAATTTAATATGTTACCATTAAAGCAAAACTAAAGAATTTCTGATATGAAGCCGTCAGTGCAAAAGTGGCCTGAGCTTACCATAGTTAGTATGAAGATAATGAGGTTGGAATTAACCTTTACAATACTAATAATATAATAGGCAAAAAAGACGCACTAAAATGATGTTTACAAAGGCATCTGTTATCTATGGATGAAACTAGGTATAGGCAGATTTTGCATCAAAATTTATTATATTTTAAATAAATTGCAATATGTAAGCACGAACTGTCGCGCTGACTGCCTCATATATGAATAATATCCAAAGTTACAAATGTACTAATATTCAATCTTTTCAACGTTCCATTAGTTAAATAATTTAACCTTGTAATATGACGAGAATATTAAAAAAAAAAACTTAAATTATTATTGCAGTGGATAACAGAGAAGCGTCGCGCTGAGGAACGTGCGGCTGAGGAAGCTCGACGCATCAAGGAAGAGGAAGAAAAGAGAGAACGGGAAGAACGAGAGAGGAAACAGCAAGAAGAAATGGAAGCGTTGAGAGAGAAAAAAGAGAAAGAACACAAGTTTGTTATTTACATAAATTTGTACAATTAGTTTCTAGCTTAAAATTATGGTTTTTTTTTATTGCTTAGATGGGTGGACGAGCTCACAGCCCACCTGGTGTTAAATGGTTACTGGAGCCTATAGACATCTACAAAGGCGCCACCCACCTTGAGATATAACTTCTGAGGTCTCAGTATAGTTACAACGGCTGCCCCCACTCTTTAAACCGAAACGCATTACTGCTTCACGCCAGAAACAGGCGGGGTGGTGGTACCTACCCGTGCGGACTCATGAAGTCCTACCACCAGTAATGAAATTATAATGATTGTTTTATTCTATAGAGAGATGTTGGCACGCGCCGAGGCCAAGGCCCGCGCCAAGGAAGCCGAGATACAACGGAAACTGGAGGGACAACGCGCCGCCGTCCCCCCGCCCGCCACCTCCTCCAGCTGGAGACGAGGACAACCTGCCCCCACCGAACGAGACGACGCCTGGAGGGGCAAGGAAGCACCTGATGCTGGGGAAAAGAAGTCCTCTGATCAATGGAGAACCAGTACGTTAAATTAATGTATTGTATTCATGCACAAGTAGCATAGGCAGCGGCTTGGCTCTGCCCCTGGCGTTGCTGAAGTCCATGGGCGACGGTAACCACTCACCATCAGGTGGGCCGTATGCTCGTCTGGCAACAAGGGCAATTAAAAAAAAGACAAGCAAAACACACTTATTGTAAAAACTGATTATTTTGATAATGATAAAGTACAATGTAGAATAGAGTGGAGATTATGGTCATTGTTCTAAAAGACACTTAATTCTTGTAACTGGCAACTGGTCTGTTATTCGGACTTAAAAAATATATTTAACAATTGAAATCAGACAAAAAACTGGTGTCTTTTTTTGATATAACTAAATACAGGAGTCCATTTCCTGAAAAGAAAAAAAAACTAATATTTTTGTTTTTGCTCTGCAATCACTGTAAGTAATTAAAGATACAATAATGTCATCAGTTACTTTTATTGGACACGAATATTATATTATGCTTTTTTATGGCCCTTGTAGGTAGACGAGAATATGGCCCATCTGATAGTTAGTGATAATTGTCGCTCATGGACATAAGCAATGCCAGTGGCAGAGCCAAGTCGCTGGCTAACGTGCTACCGTTATATTATGATCATATGGAAGCAGTCTCATGGATTAAATGATTTTTTATTTTTAGGTCGTGTCCGTGAACCCGTACGTGACGAGCGCGCTCGCAGTCCGGAACGACGCCGCGAAGATCGTCCACCCCCCAGGGACGAGCGGCCGCCTCTTAGGGATGAACGTCCGCCTCCCAGGGACGAAAGACCACCGCCCAGGGACGAAAGACCACCGCCCAGGGACGATCGCCCACCACCCAGAGACGATTGGGCTAGGGAAGACAAGTATGTTTTATCTCATAACTTTTTTTATATAACTTTATATACTAGACAGTATAAAGGTGGACTTTATGTCATAGACATTCTCTGACAATCTACCTTAAAGGGGTGCAGAGATGAAACTTGGTAGGTGTAGTGTGATAGTGATATTACTTAAACATATGTGTATATACATACATAATATTTATAGATAAAAATACTCGTACTTAAATAAATAGATATACATAAATATATATATATATCCTGCAACACTTTTGGCATCCAATGAACACAAAAGTACATTTAAAGTGGCGACCACCGACATTTGGCGACCAATATGCGGTCGCCACTTTGTTTCTCAATATTTTTTACACCAATCAACTGTAGATGGAGTTATGGTTACTATATCAATTTTTGAGATGGTCACCAAATTGCCTCAGAAACGTTTNAATGGGAGGAAGTCCGACGTTTGTAGGAATGAATTAAGTATACGGAACAATATACAGAGTTCCAATTTATTTCCAAAAAAACGGTAGACTTATCTGTAGTGAATTGATTAGTAATATATTTAAATATACGCGGATGGAGTAAGTACACCAATGTAGTTTGGTGGTCAAAAGTACTGCGAAGAATATTGATATTAGTATATTAGTATTTTGTAGGATATTGCGACAAGGTGAATTTCGAGTTAGATAGTCAGTTTCATATTCGTTAATACGTTAATATACATGATTCATTTTGCTCTAAGTTTATTAGAAGTGGTGGTTGTCAGAAGGTTGGAAAATGAAAGGTTGCCAAAAGAGTTACGGGATTTATATATATACATATAAAAATGTATATAAATAAATATCATCAATCAGATGACTGCTAACTCTCTGAGAAACAGCTCTCGAACCCTCGTCTTAAACGCTTCATGTATACTTTTCTGTCTAACAAAACTTTATTGAAACAGGATCCTGATCCTCCATAAAATTACCATTGTTTCCCACAAAGTTACAATTTTCGTTACAGTTTCTTTATAATAGATATCCATTCCACATACTATATTCACCACTTCATCTATCAATTTTATGACAAAACTTGAACTTGCTGAAATTAACATTGTGAAGTAACAGTAAATTCTATATACTATCTTTTCCTAGTAAATTACCAGCCATAATATGTTTTTCAATAATCTTTTGATTGTCAAAAGAAAGAAACAAAAAATTACAAAATTAAAATCCTTAAACGGAAATCACACAGTAGCTCATAGTTCAGTAAAAAAAAAAGCAATTGTGACTTTCTAAATCCTATCTATCATATTTGTTGCACTTAGCTACTGTAACTATAACTTGAAAAAATCAGTAAATAAACAAAATTATATTGCAGACGTGAAGAACGTCCACGGGAAGATCGTTCCAGGGAAGACAGACCTGCACCGAGAGATGATGGTGCCTGGAGATCAGCTAACCGAGAACCGGATAGAGACAGGTATCAATTTAAGTTAACTTCTAGAAAGATAAAAGACAGTCATGTCACACGTAAAACACTAAAATTTCACAAGATAACGTAACCAAGATAGGAACTTCAGATTAAATAATTTTTAATCGGCCGTTTGATTGCTACATTACAAATAAATACGATGGAATAATATAAACAGTACTAGCTACGATTTTGATACGTCACGATACATAAGTACGTCAGATAAAGATATAACTAAATTTATAGAGAATGCTTTGTAGTAACTATAATGAAATTTCAAATCTGCAGTTTCAACATACCCATTCGCAAGTGATTAACTATTTTACTTAGAAATTTAGCTGTGACTTTCGTAATGATCAAGTTTATGACGTTTATGTTCTAGACCTCGCTATGGCGGCCGGTCCAGTGGACCCGAGACCAGCTGGCGTCGCGGACCAGCCGAGCCACGACCAGCGCCTACCGTGAGTACAACACAGCAGCTCACTCGTACCAACTACTATTAAACACTAATTCATACTAAGTTACATATGGCTATCCACAACAGCGCAATCAGAATACAGGTTTGAAGAAATTTGTCCCGAAGCAAATCTTATATTAACGGCCGTCTGGTGTAGTGGTAAGTGACATGGTCACTACANCGCGGACCGGCCGAGCCACGACCAGCGCCTACCGTGAGTACAACACAGCAGCTCACTCGTACCAACTACTATTAAACACTAATTCATACTAAGTTACATATGGCTATCCACAACAGCGCAATCAGAATACAGGTTTGAAGAAATTTGTCCCGAAGCAAATCTTATATTAACGGCCGTCTGGTGTAGTGGTAAGTGACATGGTCACTACACAAGAGGGTCGCGGGATCGAATCCCGCCAAGGGAAGATATTTGTATGATAAATGTCTTTCCAGAGTTATGGGTGTATATTAAATATATGTATGTGTATAATAAAAATATTATATTTATTTCCGTTATCTGGTACTTGTAACACAAGTTCTTTACGAACTTAGCACGGGACCAGTTAACGTGGCGTGATTGTTAGTAAATATTTATATTTATTTATTATTATTATTATATCTTTAAACGAGCAATTATTATTCTTGTATAATATATGTAATCTGAACTCGGAAACGGCGTCAACGATTTTCATGAAATTTAGTATACAGTAGATATGTGTCGTTCGCGAACGAACGAGTCAAACGACCCGGGTCTCAAATTCCGCGCGAACGATAGGGTCACTTCAAAAAATATGAGTCGTTCACTAAATCGACTCGTTTAACACAAAACCTACGAATCAGAAGAAAATAACCATACGAGTACGACGGTCATTCGGGTCATTTCGGGTTGCCGCGTCTCGCCCCGCGCCCGTCTCGCTTAGTCGTTCGTTCGACTGAACGGGTCGTACGAACCGGATCATTTTGTCAACAGGTCAGTACTGATCTGAATCTCTAAAATTGAACGAACGACACATATCTAGTATACAGGGTATTTCGGGGCCGATAAATCGATCTGGCTACGTTTTATTTTCAGAAAATGTTGTTTTATTCGTGTTTTCAATAATCAACTTTACTGATAATTTTGTTTTTTTCTTTAAATTATGAGCTCATATTTTATTATTATTCTCTCAGTAAAATCTAAAAATGTTATTCATATTTCATTTTATCAATATGTAATTCGTATTTAAATGTAATTTCTAAAAAACATAATTTATCAAACAAAAAAAAAACCAAGTAAAGCTCGGTCATCTGCTAGTAATATCTTAAATGGAACACTTATGAAAGAACTTATGAAAGTTATTTTGAATATCTTCGAGTATGCTCAGCAACCCGTTTACTTTCACACGTTATTTTATATACCTAGATTTTCAAATCGAGCAATTAAAGAAATATACATTTTTTTGTGTGTTACAGGAACGCTCTGGAACCTGGCGTTCTAAGGACGCACCACCGCGCGACGATCGGTTCAAAGAGAGAGACAGATATCCACCCCGCAGAGATGAACGGTATGGATCTAAATTTAAACAAACTGAAACTGAATAATAAAATTACTTTGTCTTCAAATTTCATCACTTTAATTATTATTTTTATCATGAGCATGTTTGTAGCTACATCACAATCTACATTAGTTGTTAATTTCTTTGTTATAGTGATGGACCTAGGCGTGACGACAGAGATGGTCCGAGACGCGATGATAGAGACGGTCCGAGACGCGATGACAGAGACGGTCCCAGACGCGATGACAGAGATGGTCCCAGACGTGATGATAGGGATGGTCCCAGGCGTGACGATAGGGATGGTCCCAGACGCGACGATAGAGACGGGCCCAGACGCGACGACCGTGATCGTCGCCCTCCGCCCCCTCGTCGCGATGAAAAACGTAAGTATTTACGTAAAAAATTACTATTATAAAATTTTTATCACGCAAATATGTGTCATGAGATGTCTTGTAAGTCACATACATATAATGTCACAACCTATCATAATCACATACAATAATATAATAAAACACATATCATTATATTTTGTTAAATAAATAGATATTAAAATCATATAAAATACTTCAAACAAACTAATCTTAACTTCGTTTTCTGTAATATAAATATGAATTAACTTCCAATATGAATTTTAAACTATAATAAATTCATCTAACAAAACATTCACTCAACTGTAATAGAAGTAACGAAAACAAAATTTAAAGACCTTAATATCTCTACTTAAATTAATATTTAAAACAATATTATGTAAGATTGAATGATTTCTCTTCATTGAATGACAGATGAGTGAACTTGTTTCAAAAAAATCTTTTGAACACTAAAGACATTTACATACATTTAAAAAAAATTGCTTAATACTCACACACATTTAAATATTTTACAAAAATAAAACCTGAAATTCTATTTAAACGTGTTTTGTTAATATAAATCCTTTTCTTTTTCTGCAGCTCGCGATCCTGAAAGCAGCGGTTGGCAAGAAGTGCGGCGTTGATTTTCTTCTTCATTTAATTAATACACACAATGAAATTGCATCTCATTACGTGTACGAGCCAGATGCAAAGTCCCATTGAACGCAAACTTAACCTCATATCGAATGATTAGCTCACACAGTGAAAACGAGACATACTTTAAAAAATCTAGAATCCAGGCGTTTGATTATAAGCAAAACCGAATCAGTAGTGAACAGAGTGTGTTGCAATAAAAGTGTTGCCATGTTATAAAAACCGTCTTGTGTGTACACAGTAATGTAAATTAAAATAATGCGTCGTAATTATTTTACTTTGTTTTTCTTTTGTATTCAATAAATATTTTATTCTTTAACGGTACAAGGGGTCATATATATACTTGCTTATTTCGGAAAGGCATATTGTGTTCGTCCGAATATGTATATAATATCTATTGGGATGTTTCCATAGCCGCTGTTTTGTTCTTTTTCGAATACCTGTATACTTTTTTTTTTCATAAATTGTCACAAAACCGAGTTATCGCAATTCGTATTGTTTTCTACGTAACTAATAATGCCTTTTGTATGCTTTATTTAGTGTCATTAACGTTCAATAAACTATGGTATGTATCGAAAGTGTATTATTTCACGAAATACATTTATGTATAGAGTGTAAACTGCCCCCAATCGGCTTTAAACTATTTTAATCTTTTAAATATTTAGGAATTCGAATACAGCATTCGGTTGGACAGACGACTATAGATTATACACTTAATAATTGACTGGCGACAGTCTCCGATTTGGTCATTTATCTTGTCACAAACTGCAATATAAAATTTGTGATGACACGGTCACAAAACAGCCCATTGAGTTTCTCGCCGGATCTTCTCAGTGGGTCGCGTTTCCGATCCGGTGGAAGATTCTGCGAAGCACAGCTCTTGCTAGGGCCAGTGTTAGCAACACTCCGGCTTGAGCTCCGTGAGCTCACCTACATGTTAGGGCGAATCTGAAATAGCCTCTCAAGGCTATCAGCATAGGTAGGAAAAAAAGTCACAAAACAACCCCTGCTATCTGTAATATTTTTGCGGGTTTGATTTTATGCTACGCTGCTCATCCTCCGTCATGGAAGACTTAAGTATAAAAAAAATATTGAGCCAACTACTGAGTCATGTTCTACCTACTGGTTTATTATTTTTATTTAAACACATAAAATATGTATGTACAAGTGAAAGTAATAAAAAATTAAAAACCGTTAATATATTCGTGTATGTCGCGATGGCATCTACCATCGTCTTTGACGTCGCTTTTTCTTTTCTTTCAATAACAAATATAATTTATACGCACTCAGTAAAAGCGCTTTGAGCAATTTCAATTTCGGTGTCGCGCATCTTGATGTTGGCTCTAACGGAAAGGAACTTTTTTTATTTTTTTATTGCTTAGATGGGTGGACGAGCTCACAGCCCACCTGGTGTTAAGTGGTTACTGGAGCCCATAGACATCTACGACGTAAATGGGCCACCCACCTTGAGATAAGTTCTAAGGTCTCAAGTATAGTTACAACGGCTGCCCCACCCTTCAAACCGAAACGCAATACTGCTTCACAGCAGAAATAGGCAGGGCGGTGGTACCCACCCGCGCGGACTCACAAGAGGTCCTACCACCAGTAATAAAACTAATATAACAGCCAACCACACCACCAATGTTCACCAACACTTCACCAATTTAACCGCTCAACGTTGGTAGCAACGTTGAGGCCAACATGTGGAGCCGGTGTTAAGATTAGATTGAAAACTTTTGGTGTGACACAATTTGATTTGCCAGTTTAATTTGTCNGGTACCCACCCGCGCGGACTCACAAGAGGTCCTACCACCAGTAATAAAACTAATATAACAGCCAACCACACCACCAATGTTCACCAACACTTCACCAATTTAACCGCTCAACGTTGGTAGCAACGTTGAGGCCAACATGTGGAGCCGGTGTTAAGATTAGATTGAAAACTTTTGGTGTGACACAATTTGATTTGCCAGTTTAATTTGTCGATATCTTCGTTATAACTCTTTGGTATTTGGAGCCCCATTTGTTATTTAGTTTTTTTTTTTGCAGTACTAATAACAACAGAACATCATATGCAGGTCAAGCTCAAGGTTGTTACATGTTATTTTTCAACTTGCATTTCTTTTTGGACCACCGATGATTTGCACTTTTTTTTTAGCATAGTGGTGCTGCTTTCGTATACTATGGTATGATTAGGTATGCACTGGTAATTTGTTTTCTATTTTGGACTTGAAATATAATAACTGATGCACGTTTTTTCTATTAGGTAGACAAGTGAACGTGGGTATCACGAAGCCGATAGATACCGCAACGTAAATTCCTCCCCCATTTTAAAATTTGAGATCGATTTGTCGATTGAACACTAATTCCGCAAACTACATTTTTTTTAACTCAACAATAGTTTTTTTTTTCACACAAAGCCTTTAATGTGAAAAGCATGGACTAAGGAAGTAATTTTGGGAATTTCCCGTATCGTAGAAATATCGTTTTCAATATTATCATATTTTTCATTTCAAATATCATTATTATTTTCAAGTAAGATGTACAAAAATTACTATTTTACATTCGCCCAAAAAAAAATATACGGTGCACCCCTAAGTGAATTTACGGGTTGAACCTTTACATAGAAAGCTTAAAAGCTTAAAAGGAAGAAACATTATGCAACGAAATGCAACAAAAAGCTTAAAATGTGCTTTCAAAACAGTATACGAATTATTCGATCGCTACTAATGAATAAATTGCATATTATCAGTAAGAAGTCAGAGAGAACCCTACCTATTTAGGATACGCAGTTGTAGTGACAATTAATAGTTTTATTATTAACTAGCTGACCCGGCAAACTTCGTAGTGCTTCAATCGATAAATAAAAGCCCTAAGCTTTTGTATAAAGTAAACTTAAAACAAACAAAAGGAATCCGTCTGACGGAGGACACATCAAAGGGAAAACAAAATTGTTATTTTTATTTAATTCCGACCATTTTCATGTTTATCTACCTTTTAAAGCTTCTCTGGACTTCCACAAATAATTCAAGACCAAAATTAGCCAAATCGGTCCAACCGCCTCGAGTTTTAGCGAGACTAACGAACAGCAATTCATTTTTATATATATAGATATAAGGTAGATAGATTACTGGTGGCTCGGAGACCTTCCCAGTTTCAACAGGGCGGGTGGACGAGGGCTCAATCAGGAGTGTGGAATTTATTAACAACTGCCCGTGCACCTCCGAAGATGACCTAACAGCTCAAGGACAGCTTCTTCGCGAATCCAATTAATAGTAAAGATGATTAAAACGTACACGCAATAACTAATAATACAGCAATTAAAATGCAGCCTCACCTACTTGTTATTCTCTCATTTATAGTTTTCCAACATGACACTACCCAACATTGTCTCCCTATAAATGACCAGTAATTAGGTTTTGCTAAGACAATTATTCAAATGACTTTTAAATGTATTTATATATATGTAATACCTTATATTGGCTTATTATCGTTAATTCAGATAGATTTCTTCAGACTATATACTCGCGTTATTACGGATCCTCCCGATTCATTAACGGTGCTACAGGCTACTACGGTGCTACGACTTTAGGTACCACAAGTATATCACCGTCCTCGTCGAAGGGCTCGACGAGCGAATTAACACATAGACACAGCCCACTGAGTTTCTCGCCGGCTCTACTCAGTGGGTCGCGTTTCCGATCCTATGGTAGATTCTGCGAAGCACTGCTCTTGCTAGGGCCAGTGTTAGGAACACTCCGGTTTGAGCCCCGTGAGCTCACCTACACGTTAGGGTGAAGCTGAAATAGCCTCTCAAGGCTATCAGCATAGGTAGGGGGGAAAAAACAAGACTATACATTATAAACTTAATATACATGAGTGTTATTACGGAGCTAGCCTGAGGAGAAGAAAGAACGCTTCGCGAATTGTTTGTGAAAACAAGAAATCCATTATTGCTTCATTGTTTGCAAAATCGTTTCGCTTTTCTTGGAAATATTTGATTGATTTATTGTTTTCATGCTACTTGCTATTTCTGTTGCTCGTCGATGACCTTATTACCATAATCCGTGGAATTTATCGATCGTGCAAGTCTATGCTTAAAATCTGGTAGCAACCCGCTGACTGACCTACTATTGACCGCTGACTGACCTACTATTGACCGCTGACTGACCTACTATTGACCGCTGACTGACCTACTATTGACCGCTGACTGACCTACTATTGACCGCTGACTGACCTACTATAGAAGGCAACTGAGTCCATCATGGTTCAATGTACTCACAACGCTTCAAACAGCCAGATCTGGAAGAGCATCGCCAGGAGGACAATCCTAGGGAGCATGAGAACAAATACGTCTGTACATCGTCAGCGCAAGCATGACCACTCTGACAAGAGTGTCCGACTAAGAAACTCCTGTTAACATAAACTTTTTGTAGATGTTTTTTCGGTTATGTGCTCAGTGTGCTAAGTGCGACTTTTTTAACGTTCAGCGTTCGATAGCGTACAAGTTAACACAAATTTGTATGCAGTTGGAAGAGCAACTATAAGCATATAGCAGCAAACGTAGGCAAACGTTCCAAAATCATACAAATTTGAGTTAACTTTTACGCTATCGAGAACGTTAGAAAACTCGCACTAAGCACAATAGATATTTTCGAGGCGCTTAAAGTAGCAAACACTTTATAATGTCCACAGTCTTAGATAGCTGAACCGTTGCTGTATTCTGCGAATCACTGCTTTTGCTAGGGCTAGTGTTAGCAAATTCTCTCAGGTTGAGCCCGTGAGCTCACCTACCCGTCCGGCTCATAGCTGGAATAGTCCCTTAGGCTACCAGCGAATAAGTAGGGAAAACAAAAGAATGAAAAACCACTTAATATTGCATGTTTTTTAAAACAATGAAGCGTTTACATTATTACTTATAGTCCTTGTGTCGTTATTTAGTAAACCCTCAATATGAAGCGTCAAAAATCAACTTGCGTTGCAAAGACGCGTATTGCGCGTATACCTATATGAAACAAAAATACTAAACAACCATTTAAATAAAAATAAATGAAAAAATAAAATAAAATAAAAATTTAATGAAAAAAAATATGAAAAGCCTTGAAGCATCAGTAATTTTGGGGATGTGGAGTAAGAGCTCCGAGAGAGTGTAGCTCCTGACCACACTTTTTATTGTCAACAAAATAGAACACAGCAAGAGTACTGTTGTTATTTATGTTATAGAGCAGCTGTTGTTATCTAATAGAACCATAATTCAGGTTAATATAAATTTAATGGTTTGAAGTAATTAGTCGTGAGGACTGTTCAGCCCTTCCGCGAGGCTGGCGCGGCTCGGCTCGCGTATCACGACCAATGAAGTGGTTAAAATCGCGGCCGTTTGAGAAAGTAAAATTTTAATGCAGCGCGCCCCGCTTCACTCACAGTCGCGAGCGCGCCGACAATTCAACACTACGTGTCGTTGCCCTTAAAAAAAACAAAAGTGACATCGGGAACCGGTTCGTTCCGGGAAAACTTTTTTAAATTAATACACACTAAACTCCATAGAAGTAATCTGTGAACTGTGTTATTTTTTTTTCATAGAACGAAAGTAGAAATTGAAATACCTAATATACGGGAAGTGTGATAGTGAAAATGAATGTAAGTTGATAATTCTCACTTTATATAGGTACTTGTCTGTTAGCTTATTGCTGAAATTGGCAATACTAAAACCACTCACATATTTTCTCCGTCAAATTACTCGTAAATCAAATATTCTTACTTACTAAAATATTAATGCCACCCTAAATAATAATTGAAAATGTTAGTTCATTTCCTTAAGTAGGCTTAGGTTGACAAGTTCTCAACTTTCACACGACTAGCAACAAACAAGTCAAGGCGTTGCAGGTTTCATTCCTTTGTCTAAACAAATCTCATTCTTTTCAACTTTCACGGATCGAGAAAACCAGAAAAGAAAACTACGTTTGTAATTATAACGTGTGTGATAAAAGTAGGCTGACATTTTCAAAGCCAATAACTTGTGTTTGCCATTGTTAATTTTATGCTAACAATAACAAAGAGTTTATAAAAAAAGCTTAAACTTTTTTAAAAATTATTCATAGCTGCTAGTTATGGATAATTTACCTATAAAGTATTTATCTAAATACCTATAATAATAGATAATTAGATATTAATCATCTTTTCGGGAAGCATTATATCGTGCATATATGCCTAATATTTTACGCTAATAAAGTACGGTAGGCAGCGGCTTGGCTCTGCCCCTGGCATTGCTGAAGTCCATGGGCGACGGTAACCACTCACCATCAGGTGGGCCGTATGCCCGTCTGCCTACAAAGGCAATAAAAAAAAAAAAAAAAAAAGTAATTTTCACATTGTAGTGACGTATTTTTTATTCCCTCAATGCGTAAATATAGCTCATAGTCATATCCATAGATGTGAGTTGTTTACCTGAACACATAAACATCACAACGTGAACCCAAATACACATCTTAAGGCCGAAAGCTCAGTTATATTGTGTATCCCACCCTTTAAATCCGGTTTACAATCCAGGAATAAAATATCTTACTGGAAGATTCATATTCACCTTTTCACTTTTATAGGAATTAAACAACATAAGTCTTTATAACAGCTAAGTTATAACAGCGATTTAGTAAGAACATTAACTCAACAAGAGTCTCAATACCTACAGTATTGCTGTCAAACATACTTTAGCTTAATTAAAAACAAAATAAGTCATCTATTCTGTCAGCTGTCAAAGAAAAAATTAACAAATTTGAACAAATTGAAGAAATTTTCAAAACGAGCTTACCTTAATAACATTCGCCTTTATAAATACTTTGATGACAAAAAAGAAAGTGTGTGGCCATTTCGCCTTTTAGGTGTATTGGTAAAAATGAAAATCTATTAATAATAACACGCAAAAATGTTTAACGTTTAAGATATAGTTTGAGGAATCGGTTTATTCCGCGAATAAAACTTAATAAAGCGTGTAATATGGTATTAAAAACGGATATCTAAAAACACAACACTGTTCGCTTAAGTACATAAAGTAAATACTTATATATGTTTTTAATGTGAATTTCGATAAAAGAAAAAAAATACTTTTCCCGCTCAACTCGCAAATCTACTTTCTCACGTTCGAAATTACGCGATCGGAAACCGGTTTTACTATTTGTCTACGTTAAAATCTTACGAAAATTAAACATAAACAATAATTACAAAAAAAAACTTTATTATTTTTCGTTACTTTTGTTCATAAGGCGTCTAAATTAAACTATATAGAGTTATTTTCGCCACTACGGATGTTTTTTGCAATGCAGTTTCTTGTAAGTAAGTAGTATGAATAAAGCCGCCAGTTCACGGTACTCAACAATACAATACAATTATTACTGGTGGTAGGGCCTCTTGTGAGTCCGCGCGGGTAGGTACAACCACCCTGCCTATTTCTGCCGTGAAACAGTAATGCGTTTCGGTTTGAAGGGTAGGGCAGCCGTTGTAACTATACTTGAGACCTTGGAACTTATATCTCAAGGTGGGTGGCGCATTGACGTTGTGGATGTCTATGGGCTCCAGTAACCACTTAACACCAGGTGGGCTGTGAGCTCGTCCACCCATCTAAGCAATAAAAATAAAAAAACTCATGATGAGTTCGCTAACTAATACAAAAAAAAACCACCTTTATGATATTTTCATATCAAATACATGAACCTATGTTATTGTACAGATTTCCGGGCGGTGAGTCAATTGGTTCAAAGCTATGACGTGTCTTGCAAAGGCACTGATTCTGCAGGCAGGGTCGTCTTTAGTCGGAAAAATTCGTGAATAATACTGTAGGATTGTAATAAATTCATTGAATCCAACTATTTGTATGTGTTTTAATTCGAGAAGTTTCGAATGTTTTGCAGACAGTGTTAATAAGGCCAGACTAATCTAAATTTAGATGAACCAACAGAGCTACCTAGGGTTAAGGGAATACCGGAGTTCATAGACATCGCAAATGCATGAATGCCGCCCAACACCTAACGTGAGACATGAGGCCGAATTCCCAATAGAGTCCCATTGCTTGCTTACCATACGTAATTTACAATTTTAACGCTATTGTCCTGATTTATGGCCTTCATAAATAGAGTACTATATACTATAATTACTATACTATAATTTTTCCTTTACCTATTCGCCGGTAGCCTAAGACGCTATGACACGCCCGGAAAGGTAAATGAACTCACGGGCTCAACCTGAGAGAATTTGCTAATACCAGCCCTAGCAAGAGCAGCGATTCGTAGAGTCTACCACCGGATCGAAATCGCGACCCACTGAGAAGATCCGGCGAGAAACTCAGTGGGCTGTGTCTGTGGGTTAGTTCGCTCGTCGAACTCTTCGTTATAATCGACGAGTTCTACGAGGACAGTGACCGGTTATTATAAATAATATGACAAGAACAAGTACGAATGTTTAAGAGAAGTCAAGAGCGTAATTTCCGAAAACTTGTATGCGTAATTTTTGGGGTTAAACCTTATGTTACTATCTATACTTAATAATATATAAATCTACAGTGGTTTTTACGGATGTTCCGTTATAACTACTGAACCATGCATCCGATTGACTTTAAACTTCGTATCCATGTAGAAAATACATGTACTTAATGGATAGGCTAATATTTATATGAGTGTTGGACTCCCTACACCAGTTGCGGGGGCGTTAATGACGAGAATCTTCGTGGGGATGAGAAATAATAATGTTAATTTTAAATGGCCAGCGAAGCGGACGGGTACAGCTAGTACAATATATAGTTACAATCCTGATCATATTCTTCGCTTAGTCCAGTAAGTTGCCCCGTTGCCGTGCGAAACTTAAGATTGAAGTAATTTATGCACGATTTAACATTCGCATTCAGTAACAAAATATAAATGCATCATCTACTTAAGTATGTATATAAAATTCGTGGCTTGTGCGTATGTTCTTTATAGACTCCAAAACGGCTAGACAGATTAAATTTTTAGTTCATCCTCAGATGGGCCTAGCGAGTGATCCTTTGAAGTTCTGTTGTGGATCGGATTCAAACGCGAATCAGGGTTGACCAGCCAAGCGGGCCGGCTTCGGCTAGTTTTAAATTTCTTTTTTTTTACATAATATCGACTGTAATCAATATATGAAAATCACTACACCCGGTACAGTATTCGAGACAGCTGAACATCGAACGTAACACATTCTTTTTTTAATTCAGTTAATAAAATAACAACAATAGGAAGTGAATTCTGCAAGTCCGCTCAAGCGTCACCAGTAACAACGCGGTAACGTTAGAAAAAGTAGTTGCAAATTTTATTATATCGTCAATATAATTGTGTGGATTAAACTAGAATTAAGTAGGTACACCGCATGCATTGATAAGTCTTGTTTTAAACGTAACATTGGAATATTGTTTACATTACGGTAAATGATTTAAGATTAAGAATTTATTTTCGGGCTGAGTGCCCAAACATCAGGTTTTCGCGCGTATTTATTCTATTCGTAACGACACTGACCCAATATCAGAATAGGGTAGTGGTAGCTATCATAGATCAAAAGATATTTGACAGATACCCTAATCGCTCTACTGATATTGTTAAGGTAAGTTTGCAATATGCATAAGTTCCAAACATTCGGACCGTCGATCTATGGAGAAAATTTCAATGGCTCAATGGAAGCCCTTTGTCGACGTCTCAAAGTATAACGCAATAAAATAAATGTCTTCGGAAAATCAGACAATTAAAGAGCGGACCGTTAGCGTGGTATGGACATGTGATGCGTAAAGAGAAGATGCATGTGACGGAGGAGATGTACGGAAATGGTAGTGCAAGGTAGAGGGGGAAGAGATCGACCGAAGAAGACATGAATGGAGTGTGTGAATGACGATATGACAGAGAGTGGAGTGAGAGATGACGGCTGATAGAAGAGAACGGAAGAGAAAAATTTGCTGTGCCGACCCCACCTAGTGGGATAAGGTAGAGAAAAAGAAGAAGGAAAATCAGACAATACCGACCGCGACCGTGGTGCCAATTAGTTTCGAATCTTTAACGTGTTTTATTTCAATCTCAATAACGTAAGTAACTATTGATATGAAAGTTAGACGGCGCCAACTCGTGTTAGTTAGATGTAACCACTTCCGCTGAAGTTCCGGTAAAAACCGTCATGTACGTTAGTCCATTCGAGGCGTATAGAGAAAAAAATCTCACTCCATTCTGTGCTTAGAGCTCGCCATTTGCGTTTGTCGGCGACTTCTTGAACTCATACTAGGTAGGCTTATGCTTGGCGTTTAATTATGGAATATAATGGTTTTTTTTTAAAGCCTCGAAAGCAAGAATCCTAAAGGTAAATGATTATACTGATAACTTCCTATTTTGAAAAATCATTTTTATTTTTTATTAAACTTTAGGCGCGTTACTGAGAACAGATCAGCGCCTTTTCCGACCAAGCCTAAATGCTAAAAGCAAATTTTAAGTAACCACGACAAAAATCCAGCTAAATGAGATCCTACATAACTATCGCCTTTAATCAATTTTATTTACAATTTTACTAAAAATTCTTTGAGCACATGAAATTCAAAATAAACAATTCTGAAGCAACTAGGTAACAATTGCGATAAGAAACGACCCGATCACGTT